TCACAAGACATTAATAATTATATAGCAAAAAAAAAAAAATTATATAAAAAAAATTTCATAAAAAAAATGTTGTATAAGAATTATACTAAAAAAAATTATTTTACAAAACAATAATATTTAAAGAAAGTTATAAAATTATTCTTTACAATCTTACAAATTTACAAATTATTCTTTACAAGAAATAAAAGATTGTATTGAAAAAATTATATTAAAAAAAATCATATAAAAAATTATATTAAAAAAAATTCGTTAACAAAATTATATTATTATAATTATTAATATTGATTCACGCATTATGATGATGGAAGAAAAGAAAATAATTCAATATCATAAACAAGTGATTTACACAGGAGAAATTTCGTTTATTCTATTTAATATTTTTGGAATTCATAAACCAAAGTTTTTACAATCGAGATTGAAAATTTTTCTCTATTATATATATTCGAAAATTATGATAACAATATATTTTCTTTTCGTTTTCTCAATGATGCTTTTTCTTTTGCTGAAAGCAAAAAATATTGACAGTGAAATGGAAACGTTTTTTCATTTGCTCGCCTTCTTTACGGTTCTTTTTAAAATGATGAGTATTATTTCGCAAAGCAAATCTGCAGAGGAATCGAATAATCTTCTTATGAATAAAATTTGTCAACCCAGAGACGATTTTGAACTGAAACTTTTGCTACAAACATCACACACTTGCAGGTGAAAGAATTAAATAAAAATAAAAATTATATTTTCAATTTTACATTTATATTTCTATGAAAGAAAATTATTTTTTAAATTTAAAAATTTTATTTGAAAAAAAATTTCTTTGATTCAAGTGGACGATTGGTTGTCAATTGTCAGCAAAAATATTTATTGTATCAAAAAAATTTTTTTATGAGTCAATTGCATTTATTAATATATTTTATTTATTAACTTAATTATTTATTCGCAATTATGTAGGTAAATATTGAAATAAATTAAATAAATATATTTATTTGAGTTTTTATTAAAATTAATATTTGTTTGACTGAAATAAATATTTTTTTTTTACTAAAATAAATATTTGTTTGCTTGAGATAAATATTTGTTTGATTAAAAGAAACATTTGTTTGATGGAAATAAATATTTATTTAACAAATAGGCAATTAATTTATTTATTATTTATTATTTATTTATTTATTTGAATGAAATACTTATTTCTCAGTATAATAAAAAGTAAAAAATTTCTTTTCCAGATTATATACAATACTTTACTTAATTTTAATAAATATTTCAACACTGTCAGTGTTATTGTTTCCACCTTCGAAAAGAAGTAATTTTCCACTACCATTTAAAGTGTGGACGCCTTATAATCTGAGTTGCAAGAGTTTATATTTTTTTACATATATTCATCAAGGTTTAGCGACAACATTAGCGGCCAGTGTGACAAGTTCAATTGAAAGTTTGGCATTGATTTTAATTTTACAAATTTGCACTCAATACGAAATTCTTGTTCATCGTTTAAATTTTATATCTCGATTAACGCCAAGGAATGAACAAGATTCACTAACTCATCAATGTCAATTAAAAATCGTGAAAAATTGTATTCAACATCATATTCATATTTTGTCGTAGGTTTTATTATTTTTTGTCTAAGCTAAGAATATAATATAAACTGGAACATTAAATTCTGTTTTGAGTTTAAAAATTGTTAGACTCAAATTTTATATAAACACTAAAGAGTTTGATAAGAAAAAAACAATAATTGAGGAAAATTAACTTTACTAACATATAACATACAATATTTAATATATTTATTAATTTGTTGCCATTTTTAATTCAAATAAATTTTGATTAAGTCAAAAAAATTTTATTTGGTTTTATTTCAATTGATTATAATTTATTTAATTAATTGATTGAATTGATTTAATTTTATTTTAATTATTTTAATTGGTTATTAATTTTAATTGAGGCAAAAAAATTTTATTTGGTTTTATTTCAATTGATTATAATTAATTCAATTGATTCATTGAATTGATTTAATTTTATTTTAAATTTTTAATTATTTTAATTGGTTATTAATTTTAATTGAGACAAAAAAATTTTATTTTTTTTGTGTTAAATAAAAATTCTATTTTAAACAAAATTTTTTTTTGTTCTAAATAAAATTTCTATTTACAACAAATAAGCATTTTTTTCGCACTAAATAAAATTTCTATTTTCAACAAGTAAACAATTTTTTTTTGTGTCAAATATAATTTCTGCTCGAAAAAAATAATTTAGTGATAAATATTTGACTCTCAAATAAATTATACAAGCTTCAAATTAAACATTTCTCTGAGTTTTTATATAAAAAAAAATTTCTATATTAATAATTATTTTTTTCAAGGATGGGAGATAAATTAAATGAGCTATTCAGTGTTGTTATTTTTGTTCAATTTTTCGGCTCTATGATTAGCTTATCAGCTGTTATTTATCAATTATCAAAATTATCATTAGCTGATCCTAAAAGTTGGGGTTTATTATTTCTATTGTCAACTTCTTTAACACAAATCTACATTTACTGCTACTATGGGGAAAAAATTATGTCAAAGGTATAAAAAATTTGTAAAAAAAAATCTGATTTTGATTTTTTTTCAAATCGCTATTATAATTAAAAAAAATAGTTAATATAATTAGAAAAAGTTGATATTTAAAGAAATCTATTTATTGTAAATATTTTATTACTTGATAATATTAATTATATGTTTATATTCATTTTGTTTACTTATTTATTGCATTTATTCATTCATATTATTTAATTGTTAATTATACTTGTTTATTAATTATATTTTTTTATTAATTTTATTGATCTATTAATTAAAAATTTGTTCATAAATTTTATTTGTTTATTAATTACACTTGTTAATTAATTTTAATTGGTTTTTAATTTTATTTGTTTATTAATTATATTTGTCTATCAATTATACTTGGCTATCAATGGTATTTATTTAATAATTTTATTTGTTTATCAATTTTGTTTATCAATTTTGTTTACCAATTTTTGTTTATTATCCTTGCTTATTAATTTCAATTGGTTCTTAATTTTATTTAATAAAACTTAGTGATTCCATGCAGTAATTATTATTGTATTATTTTCAAAAAGAAAATTAAAAATCAGGATTACACTAAAATAAATATTATTGAGCGCAATGAATTATATTAATTATCCAGTGTAATCCTGCTTTCTAATTTTCTTTTTGAAAATAATATATGTACATAAATTTCATTTGTTTATTAATTATTAATTATTATTATTAATACTTGTATTTTTCCAAACTATAGAGTTTGTCAATTATGGACAAAATTTATGAGATTAAATGGTCATCAATTAAAAGCAGAACAAAGAGAGATTTAATTTTAATAATGATTCGAGCGTCAAGGCCAATTAAATTTATGGGATTCAAAATTATCATAATGTCAATAGAAACATTTTTTCAAGTTTGTATAGAATTTCTTTCTGTAAAATTGTTTTAGTAAAAAAAACAAAAAATATTATTTAAAACGAAAATTTTTTTTGCAGGTTGTAAAATCCGCTTATTCGGCCTATAATTTATTGAAAGGTTTCTAAAAAAGAAGTTAAAAAGAAAATTTACTTAATTTCTTATTGTTGTATTTTTCTATCTGATTTTGGAAATAAAATAAAAAACTTTTTCTTAAACACTGAAACATTATTTTAACAAATTAACAATCACTTTTTAACCCAATCGAAATAATTATATATCTATTCAAAAATAGCAATTTGAATTCTTTATTTTAATAAAATAAAATAATTCAAATAAAAATTACCAGTTTCACGTGATACATTCTCTATTGAATCGAAAATCGTATAAGAATAAAAACAAATTTGTCTGACCAAAATTGACTAGTACTACTGTAAGTAATATTTCGTCTGACTAAAACGGTCTCTATCCACTGAAACAGAAATCGTAATAATAAAATTTCAAACCACAAATGTATTTCTATTTTCTATAATCAATTTTACATTTATTATTATCAATTGCTTTTAACTTATTCGCGTTCGTCTCTTGATTAAGAATTTATACGAAAAGGGTGAATTGTCGTTTATTCACATTTTCTATGCAAATGACACGAGAAATTATTGAAAACGCTTCGCTATGCGTAATAATTCACAAATGACGAGAACTTGATACCATAATGCATTTTGAATAATAAGAAAGTTCTCGTTAAAATCAATAGACAATAAAGAGGATGAAACTAATTTTTTTAAAAAACCTTTCAAGCACTCGCTAAGAATTCTTATTCAACAAAATTTTCTTTCCTAAAAATATTTTAATATTTTTAGGAAAGAAAAATAAATTTTAGAAAAATTTTGAAAGTTATGTTTCAAAATAAATTTTGCAGTCGTAAAATTTTCAACTCTAATAAAAATCTTTTTTACAAAATTCAAATTTAATTAAAAAATTACAAGAAATTGATGATTATATTGTGAAAAAATGATATTAAAAAAAATTACCTACATAAAAAAATTATACAAAAAGAATTATACTGAAAAAAAATTAGCGTAGAAAATATTAATATTTAAAAAAGTTATTAAATTATTCTTTACAAGAAATAGAAAATTGTATTGAAAAAAACTATATTTAAAAAAAACGTATAAAAAAGTTTTATTAAAGAAATCGTGTAAAAAATTATATTAAAAAAATTCGTTAACAAAATTATATTATTATAATTATTATTATTTAACACGCATTATTATGATAGAAGAAAAGAAAATAATTCAATATCATAAACAAGTGATTTACACAGGAGAAATTTCGTTTATTCTATTTTATATTTTTGGAATTCATAAACCAAAGTTTTTAAAATCGAGTTTTAAAATTTTTCTCTATTATATTTATTCGACAATTATGATAGCAATATATTTTTTATTCGTTTTTTCAATTGTGCTTTTTCTTTTGCTGAAAGCAAAAAATATTGACAGTGAAATGGAAACATTTTTTCATTTGCTCGCCTTATTTACGGTTCTATTCAAAATGATAAGTATAATTTCCCAAAGCAAATGTGCAGAGGAATCGAATAATCTTCTTATGAATAAAATTTGTCAACCCAGGGACGATTTTGAATTAAAAATTTTGCAGGAAACATCGCACACTTGCAGGTGAAAGAATAAAAATTCAAATTTCAAATTATATTTTCAATTTCATATTTATATTTCTATAAAAAAAAATTATTTTTTAATATAAACTTAACAATTTGATTTGAAACAAAATTTATTTGATTCAAGTGGACGATTGGTTGTCAATTGTCAGCAAAAATATTTATTGTATCAAATAATTTTTTTATGAGTCAATTGCATTGATTAATATATTTTACTTATTAACTTAATTATTTATTCATTTATGTAGGTAAATATGATTGAGGTGCAGTTTTTCTAAAATGTATTATCTAATTTTTCATTTTCTAAAAATTTTTTTTCTAATAAAAGTGAATTTCTAAGAAACTTTTTTCTAATGAAGAGGATTTTTTAATTTTCTTTTTTCTAATAAAGGTCATTTTCTAAAAATTTCTTTTTCTAATAAAAGTAATTTTCAAAATGTTTTTTTTTAACAATACTTGAAATTTTGTTAAAAAAATATAATAAAAAATAGAAATTATGCAAATTTTTTAACAAAATTTTTAAATAATCTAGTTAAAAATCGTAATTAACAAATAGAAAATTATAAGGATTTTTTTCCTAAATATATTTAAAATTTTTTCAAAAACTGTTTTATAAATAAATTAATTTTGGAAATTTTGGTATAAAAATGATGAAAATTATTTTTTTTTTTTCAAAAATGAAAAGAATTTTTTTAACAAATTGTGATAAGAAATAGTAATTTTATAAAAAATTTTCTACTTTTTAAAAATCAACTATTTTAATAAAATTTTCCGAAAAGAATTCAATTATTTACAATTTTTTAAATAAATTTCTTTGCAATTATTCAATTATTTCTATAAATTTTTAAATATTATAAAATTTATATTATTATAAAACATGAAGAAATCGATCACTCCGAGTCTTTGACTCGGAGCAATCGATATCTTCATGTTTTATAACAATACTTTCATAAATTGTTTAATTTCAAAAAGGTTTGAATTTGAAATTTTTGAAAATCTTAATTCTTATGAAAAAATAATAATATTTAAATCTTTATTTAAAAAAAAGGTACTGAAGTTTTTTGAATAATTTTGCAATTAAAGAGTCAAATTTTTTCCTTTATTTTCTAAAAATTCAAAAATTTTCATTTTCACGTAATTGACAAATAGAATTTATAAACATTTTTTTCCTTTATGTAAAAAAACTTTAAATTTTATTAAAACAATTGTAATTAAGAAATATAAATTATGTAAATTATTTCCTAATGAAAATTGAAAATTTTCTAAAAAAATATTAAGAAACGGGAATATGTAATGTTTTTTTCACAAAATAAAAAAATGAGTTTGTGAACAATATTATAATTGAAAAACAAAAAATATACAATTAATTTTTTAACAATTTTCTAACTTTTATCAAAATTATGGAATTTTACAAATTTTAGAAAAATGAATCTTAGAAATCATAACTTTTTAGAAAAACTTTTTTTTAAAAATCAAAATTTGTTAGAAAAACGTTTTTTAGAAAACAGATTTCATTAGAAATTGCTTTTTTTTAGATAAAAAGGATTAGAAAATATTTTTTAGAAAAAGTGACCACCTACCGGTAAATATTGAAATAAATTAAATAAATATTTATTTGAGTTTTGATTAAAATTAATATTTGTTTCATTGAAATAAATATTTTTTTGACTAAAATAAATATTTGTTTGCTTGAGATAAATATTTGTTTGATTAAAAGACACATTTGGTTGATGGAAATAAATATTTATTTAACAAGTAGTCAATTAATTAATTAATTAATTAATTAATTAATTAATTAATTTATTTATTTATTATTTATTTATTTATTTATTTATTTATTTATTTATTTATTTATTTATTTATTTATTTATTTATTTATTTATTTATTTATTTATTTATTTATTTATTTATTTATTTATTTATTTATTTATTTATTTATTTATTTATTTATTTATTTATTTATTTATTTATTTATTTATTTATTTATTTATTTATTTATTTATTTATTTATTTATTTATTTATTTATTTATTTATTTATTTATTTATTTATTTATTTATTTATTTATTTATTTATTTATTTATTTATTTATTTGAATCAAATACTTATTTTTCAGTGTAATAAAAAGTGAAAAATAATTTTTTTTTTCAGATTGTATACAATACTTTACTTAATTTTAATAAATATTTCATCACTGTCAGTGTTATTGTTTCCACCTTCGAGGAGAAGTAATTTTCCACTACCATTTAAAGTGTGGACGCCTTATAATCTGAGTTGCAAGAGTTTATATTTTTTTACATATATTCATCAAGGATTCGCGACAACATTAGCGGCCAGTGTGACAAGTTCAATTGAAAGTTTGGCATTGATTTTAATTTTACAAATTTGCACTCAATACGAAATTCTTGTTCATCGTTTAAATTTTATATCTCGATTAACGCCAAGGAATGAACAAGATTCACTAACTCATCAATGTCAATTAAAAATCGTGAAAAATTGTGTTCAACATCATATTCATATTTTGTCGTAGGTTCCATTCTTTTTCTACTCCATAAACGTAAAAACTAAAACATAATTATGTTTTAGTTTAAAAATTTTTAGATTCAAATTTTATTTAACTTTCACTAAAGAGTTTAATAGGAGAAAAATAATAATTAAGGAAAATTAATTTTACCAAAATATTTCATAGAATATTTTTTAATTTATTATCTTTTTTACTTTTTTTCAATTAATTATTTATTATTTATTTATTATTTATGTATCATGTATTATTTATTATCATGTATTATTTATTATTATGTATTATTTATTATTTTTTTTTTATTATTATATATTATTTATTTACTATAAATTAATTATTTATTTATTTTCATTTAATAATAAGAAAAATTAAATTATTTATAAATGTTATTATTAGTATAGTTTTTTAATTATCGTTCATAGCAACACCGAGAAAAAAGAGAGAGCTTACTAAATTATTTATTTGGTCCAACTAAATTTTATTTCGTTAAAATAAATTTTAATTCAGACAAATAAATTTTGTGTAATCTAAATAAAAAATTTTTCGTAAATTTTTTATTTGCAACAAATAAAAATTTTTTCTCGAGCCAAATAAAATTTCTTTTTGCAAAAAATGGAAATTTTTTATTTGTGATAAATAAAATTTCTACTTAGAACATAAATTTTTGCAGGCTAAATAAAATTTCTATTTACAACAAATAAAATTATTTTTCGTGATAAATATAATTTTCAACTTGAAACAAATAAATAATTTAGTAAACAATTTAAAAAAATATTTAACTCGCAAATAAATTAAACTTGGATTAATTTTCTCTGAGTATAAAAAAAAAATTCTATGTTAATAATTATTTTTTCAAGGATGGGAGATAAATTAAATGAGCTATTCAGTGTTGTTATTTTTGTTCAATTTTTCGGCTCCATGATTAGCTTGTCAGCTGTTATTTATCAATTATCAAAATTATCATTAGCTGATCCTAAAAGTTGGGGTTTATTATTTCTATTGTCAACTTCTTTAACACAAATTTACATTTACTGCTACTATGGGGAAAAAATTACGTCAAAGGTATAAAAAATACACAAATAATAAAAAACATTTTGTTTTCTTTTTCTAATGCGCTCAATTATTATAATTTTAAAAAAAAGTTATTATAATTAGCAAAAGTTGACATTGAAAAAATCGGTATATTGTAATTATTTTATTACTTATTTTAATTATTTTAATACTGATTATTTATTAATTTATTTTATTTATTTATTAATTTTATTTGTTTATTAATAATACTTCTTTATTAAGTTTAATTGGTTTTTAATTTTATTCGTTATTTATTTTATTTGTTTATTTACTTTCTTTGTTTATTAATTTCATTTGTTTATTATCGTTCCCAATTAATTTCAATAGGTTCTAAATTTTATTCATAAATTAATTATAATTAAATAGTTGTACAATTTATCACTCGGTAAAAGATAATATTAATTTTGATTATTACTTTTATTATATATTTATTAATAATTGTATTTTTCCAAACGACAGAGTTTGTCAATTATGGACAAAATTTACGAGATTAAATGGTTAACAATTAAAAGCAGAACAAAGAGAGATTTAATTTTAATAATGATTCGAGCATCAAGGCCATTTAAATTTATGGGATTCAAAATTATCATAATGTCAATAGAAACATTTTTTCAAGTTTGTATAGAATTTCTTTTTGTAAAACTATGTTACATAGTAAAAAAACAAAAAATATTTTTTAATACAAAAATTTCTCTTGCAGGTTGTAAAATCCGCTTATTCGGCCTATAATTTATTGAAAGGTTTCTAAAAAAAAGTTAAAAAGAAAATTTACCTAATTTCTTATTGTTGTATTTTTCTATCTGATTTTGGAAATAAAACAAAAATAAACGGAACAAGCAGGACAATTTTTTTAATAAATGTAATTTTTATTTATCCAGAAATTAAATTTTTTTCTACTATTAATTTTATTAATTTGATTTTTTTTCACAAAAGTAAAAGCAGGACAATTTTAATTTTTGAAAGAAAAATTTTTTTACACAAAACTCTGATAAATTGTGAACGACAGTGAAGTTGTAGATAAAATGAATTGCATTCCTATAGAAATATCTTATCAAAACTATTTTAATCAATTTTAATTTATTATTACTCACAGTTCCTTCATTTTCTAAAGAAATATTCAACCCTCAGGTTCCTTGCATTCTCATAAAAAATTTAAACAAAATTGAAGAATTTTCACGTAGAGAAAATAAGATAATTTTATTCTCTGTATGCAAATTACGATATAAATTATTCAACAACTTTTTCATCACATGAAATTTCAAGTAGATATCTTTTGAGTTTATAGTCTATTTACAGAAATATTGCGAAAACGAAGAGACGCAAATATTATTCATAAACTGCGAGCTTATATTCATCAATAGAAGGCAACAAGATATTCTATGAAAAGTGCAATATTATTGAAACACATTTTTGACTATATAACAACATTTATAATGCCGACAAGTTAGTATATAAAATGTTTATAAATTTATGTTTATTAAAAACAATATTTTTTTCAAAAAAAAAAAAATGGGTTACTAAAATTTTGAACATTTAAGTGTCTAAAATCTATTTCATTCATTTAAATTTTACTTTTATTAAATTATTATTTTAGAATTTTTTATAACTTAAAGTTTCTACAAATTTTTTTTAAATTTCTATAAAAATATTCTTTTTATTAAAAAAACCAAAACTATTTTTTTTAAATAATAAAAAGCAAAATAGAAATATTTGTAAATAAAATAAACAAGGACTCATTACTTTCTGTTTAGAGAATTTAAAGAAAAATATTTTAAATTAAAAAATAAATTCTTGTTAGTGAAAAAAAAAAATTTTCTTTGGAAAATAAAATAAAAGGCATTGCATTAAATTATTTTCCAAAAAATAAATAATAATTTTCACTAAAAATAGTGAATTATTTTTTTACTTCAGTAATACTTACAAGGAAAATAATAATCAAAGCAAATTAAAAAATAATTTAAATAATAATTTAAATAAATAATTGAAATTAAAAATAATAATTGAAACTAAAAAAAATTTTAGTTTGTTTTAAAACTTAATATATTAAAAAAAACTTATTGTTACTAAAACTTACAGGTGAACTGCAATAAAAGACAACTATTCGAAGCATGAATAAAAAAATAAATGCAAAACATAAAAGTGAAATTTATCTGGGACAAATATCATTTATTATACTTCAATTGTTCGGTGTCTTTAAACCATTCAATTGGAATTCAAAGTGGAAGAATTGGATTTATTATGTTTATTCAATTTTTATGATTTCTCTCTTTTTTTATTTCTTTTTTGCAATATTATTGTTTCTATTGTTGAAGGCAAAAAATATTGAAAATGAAATGGAATCATTTTATCATTTTCTCGCATTTTTCACTGTTTTCTTCAAAATGATAACAATATTTATACGCAGTCAAATTGCCATTGAATTAGTGAATTTATTTACAAATAAACTGTGTCAGCCAAGAGATGAGAGTGAAATAAAAATTCTACACAATACATCATATTTCAGTAGGTAAATTGAATTTTCAATTATTATCCACAATTTTTGGAATATTCACTAAACAAAATTTTTTCACACACCGTTTTTTATTCTACTGTAAAAAAATATTTATTATTCGAAATTAGAAAAAATTATTTCCATTATTTAAAGTTATGAATAATTATTTTTATCATTAAAAATTTTGAAAATTATTTTTACTAAATTTTCGAATAATTTTTATTTGTATTCAATATTGTTAAATTAATAGTAAATCATAATTTAATATTACTATTTTTATTCAATTTTTATTAGTGAATAATCCAAAAAAATGTGGGTAAAATTTATTTCACTGAAATTTTGAACTTTCAAATGAACAAAATTTTCCAAAATTAACAAAATATATTCAAAACTTTACTGAATAAAAAAATAATATGTAATTAGTTTTATAATATATTTATTTCATATAATTAGTTTCATTTTTTTCAATTTGGTTCAGAATTAATTTTTCGAATGTTCAAAAATAATTCTTTTGCAAAAAAAAACAAATTAAAATGAAATTAGTAAAAAAAAATATCGTCGTTTATTTGAAAGTTCAAAAGTTTAGACAAAATTTATGTGAATTAAATTTGTTTTTATAATAAAATTGGGGCATTCCAGGTGAAATTTTCTTTAAAAAAATATTTTCTTTCTCTTAACATTTTTTTTGAATTCTGTTTCAAAAAAAAGGAAAAAGGTAAATCTAAAAAGATCTTTCACATTTTTTATTTAGAGACAAAATAAAAAATTCCTTTTTTTTATTTTTTAAATAGAATTCGAAAAAACTATTCCAAACAAAAAGAAAGTTTTAAATGAGCAATCATGGAAAAAACGGTTTTTTTTATTTTTTATGCAAAAGTAGAAATAACTATTCGAAGAAAAAAAATTTTTAAAGGAATGCACCTGGCAAAAAAACGTTTTCTTATTTTTTTTATACAAAATTCAATAAATATTATTCCAAACAAAAAAATATTCAAATGAAAAAACCTTGAAAAAAATACGTTTTTCTATTTTTTATACAGAATTCGAACAAAATTGTTCCAAACAAAAAGAAAATATTTTAATGCAAAATTAAGTTTTCTTATTTTTTATACAGAATAAAAATATTACAAAAAAAATTGTTCCGAACAAAAAAAATTTTTTCAATGAAAAATTTCCCCTGGAATGCTCCAAATAAAAATAAAAAATAATAAAAATAAAAATAAAAAATAATAAAAATTAAAAATAATTTATGTAAAAAAAAATATTAAATATAAAATACAGGTTGTACACAATTCTCTACTTGATTGTAACAAATTCAACGTCAATTTCACTATTTTTGATTCCACCTTCCAAACGAAGTGATTTTCCATTGCCATTTAAAATGTGGATTCCCTACAGTCTTAAAAACAGAGTTTTCTATTTTTTAACGTATATTCATCAAGGTTTTGGTACTACAATGGGTGCATGTGTGACATCAGCTATTGAGGGTTTAGCTCTAATGTCAATATTACAGATTTGTGGCCAATACGAAATTCTTATTTATCGCTTGAATTCACTGACTCAACTCAACTCAAATAATAATTACAATGATTCCTTCATTTATAATTGTGAATCGAAAATTATCAGCGACTGCGTTGATCTTCACTGTCATATTTTTCTGTACGTTAATCATTTTTATTAAAGAAAAAAAATAGAATATTAAATAAATAAATATAAATTTAAAATTTATATTGAATTAAATTAAAATATAACATTAGAAATTTTACTTTAAATTTAAAATTTAAATTCAATTCATTTAAAATTGTTAATTTCATTTCAATTCAATTTAAATTGGCAATTTAATTTTAATTCAATGAAATTAAAATTTAATTTCAATTCAATTAAAATAAAATTTAATTTCAATTCAATTCAATTAAAATAAAATTTAATTTCAATTCAATTCAATGAAAATAAAATTTAATATCATTAAAAAAAATAAAATTTAATTTCAATTCTATGAAAATAAAATTTAAATTGAAATAAAATGTATTAAAATTCGCAATTTAATTTCAATTCAATTAAAATTGTTAATTTAATTTTATATCAATGAAAATAAAATTTAATATCAATTGAATGAAAATAAAATTTAATTTCAATTCCATGAAAATAAAATGTAATAACAATTTAAAAAAAAAATAAAATTTAAATTGAAATAAAATTGATTAAAATTGGCAATTTAATTTCAATTCAATTAAAATTGTTAATTTAATTTTAAATCAATGAAAATAAAATTTAATATCAATTGAATGAAAATAAAATTTAATTTCAATTCCATGAAAATAAAATGTAATAACAATTTAAAAAAAAAATAAAATTTAAATTGAAATAAAATTGATTAAAATTGGCAATTTAATTTCAATTCAATTAAAATTGTTAATTTAATTTTAAATCAATGAAAATAAAATTTAATATCAATTGAATGAAAATAAAATTTAATTTCAATTCCATGAAAATAAAATGTAATAACAATTTAAAAAAAATAAAATTTAAATTGAAATAAAATTGATTAAAATTGGCAATTTAATTTCAATTCAATTAAAATTGTTAATTTAATTTTAAATCAATGAAAATAAAATTTAAATTGAAATAAAATTTAAACTTTTGGTTCAAATTAAAGAAATATAATTTTGATTTTTAGTTTAAAATTGATTTTAATTCATGAATCAAAATTTTAATACAATTGCAATTAAAGAAAAATCATTTTTCTAAATAAAAATTAAGTAATTATTTCTTTACAGAATTGGAAAGAAATTAAACAACTTATTTGGTTCTGCAATTTTCGTTCAATTTTTCGTCTCCATGCTTGGATTGGGAGCAATTACATTTCAATTGTCGAGATTAACAGTGTCAGATCCAAGACTTTGGGGCCTAATGTGTGCATTATCGGTTACTTTAGTGCAAATATTTCTCTACTGCATTTTTGGTGAATTAATTAAAACCAAGGTAAATTTTCATTGACAAAAAAATTAAGTTTTTCGCTTAATTTTCATTATTTTACCATTTAAAGTAAAAAAATAAAAGTAAAAATAAAAATGAAATTGAAAATAAAAGTAAAAGTAAAAAATGAAATTGAAAATAAAAGTAAAAGTAAAAGTAAAAATAAATCAAAATAAATCAAAATAATAATAATAATTTTTGACATAATTTAAAATAGAGTTTTTCAATTATCAATGAAATTTATAAAATGAATTGGTCGTCGATAACAAATAAAACTAAAA